TAATCTGACAACAAAATACACCTCTAATGTGTTTTCAATTTCAGTCAACACAGAAAAATCTAATGGGACTGTAAAATTGATAAAGTGAAAACACTTCCTCCAAATTCTGTTGATACCATAAATGTAGGCTGTATATGGATGTATACTCTTTACAAAAATGCCTTTGTTGTTAATAGTATTTTGGGTAGTTTATTGTCAAAGTCATTTAAATTCAATATGAGCTTATCATTGAAAATACTGAAATGTGGCAGATATGAGTTAATATTGCCAGACATGTTCCTTCCCCCCCCCCCCCCCCCTCCCCCAGATTAGAGATTACATCAATTGTACCAGTTCGTACAGAGTCAGTTCATGACATAAGTGATATGAAAATCAACATGAACTCGTTCCTGGGTTCATCAAGTTAATACAATGTTATATATTTACAAAAACATGCTCTCAAATCAACTAGTAAGAGTCCCTTATGAACAAACGATCAATAGTTCCAATATACTATCTTCATAGAAATTGTACATGGACTAAAAATGAATTTGAGGTGTGACAATTCATCTTTGAAATCTGACTGCAAGATACTCCTCCAATCTAAGTGGACATATGTCATTATTTATCTCGAGGAAAAGTCCATCCCTTATCAACATTGGACCTTTCTTTCTTGTATTAACTAGACAAATTGTATAAAACTGGACAGCTATAACAACTAAGCTACGTCCGATTTCGTCCGTAATTTCCAACCTATCGAAACAGCATTAATTCCTCTGATCAGAACAGGCAAATTATCGAAAACTACCAATTTATTAGAGTCCTCAGAGACCTAATGGTTCCAAGATGAGGCAAACAAACATGGCCGCCGAGCTGATTAATCAAAAGTCCAAAGGTCCATATTTAGGTCATCGACAGAACCCAGGGTAAATTGGTCATCGCCCTGGTCACTTGTGTTTTGACCAGTCAGGATATAAATAGAACAGTGGCCTAGTAAAACCGATTCAGTATTTATTCACCATTCACAGTTTACGAGTTCGTCTGCTCACCAGCAATAAACAGATCAATATCTGAGGTGGGGGTTTTAAACGTCTGTCAATGATAGCATAAAACATTTCTTCTCCGTCTAACCATCATAGCGAATGAAAATCGAGAAAAGATCCCCTGTTTTAGCATTTGTGGCGCGTTGAGCAAGATATTTGTAATTGTGGTTATTTTCGTGTTTGGGGAAAAAGCTGCATGGCACTGGAAGTTGGTGTGGTGTATTAATGTATTATTCTCACACAATGAAGTCCCCTCGTCGCAGTTGTACAGGAAGAAGACAATCGCTGGTGAGACGCTCCCATCAATGGACACCCGATACGCCTGTCAACATCTGTGTAATTATATTCATATTTTCTCAACATCAGTGGGAGACATTTTTTCTGTAGGCGTCTGGTCCAATCGTCTAAATGTGTGAAGCAAAAACATTGCAAAGTATTCATCATTATGATTTGAAAGAAGGTTATGGCGATATTCTTCCTCAGATAAATATAACCTAACTGGTCAGACTAGTGGTGTATAATTAACACATATACTCACACAAAGGAAGAGATTTTGTGAGAAATGCAGAGGTTGTTTGTTCAGTGATGTTTATCAAGGGATATGTGCTTGAGACACTTGTTAGAAGCTTTCCTTTATTTGAAATATTCAAACAGCCGATTTAATGAGGGTAATATGATATAAGTAGGGGTAGGCATACTCTATCTAGATCAACCTCAGCCACACCCATTTCCAAAACACAAATTCCTTTTCTATTTACATACATATTATTCCTCTAAATCATATCTGAAGAGTTATCAACTGAACACTGTAATCTTTGCACTGTTGTTTTCAGTTGTATGTAAACATGCAACTCTTAACATTTAAATCTTTGTCAAAATAAAATTCTGTAAGTTTGGATGATGACTTCTATATGCCTTTATTCAGTGCTTCCGGTGAAAAGCATCCTGTTGAGTTGCATAGAAGTACATATAAATAGATGTTAAATATCATGAGCCCCTCCCCCCACCACACATACACATAAAAGGCCAATAAACAATGAGAACAATATATTTTGTGGCTGAGTGAGATTATTTTTCCAAAGTGTAGGAAATGGGACAACATATACAAATATGTAATACAGTCTAAGTGAATTGCTAACCCACAGTTGTAAAAATGTTGTTGTTAAATTAACAGCCTGTTAGAATCACAAAATAAAATACCTACTGGATAAAATCTTCAGTTTTGCTATAAAAATGTAACCATTGCCGAAGGAACGCTTACTACAACATGAATCGTTTGTTTTGCAATTTTAATGATCATGACACTCTTTATGTAATCCAAAATGGCTGCTCAAGCAAAGGGGAGGACACTCTGTTTACAACTGTTTTGTTCACATGAACCAAAAAACCACCAAGAAAAACAATAATCAGTAATCAAATATTAGATGGTATTCGTCACCAAAAGCTGCATTTAGCGTGATATCACCCGTCCCTGATGACATATATAATCCCTCATTAGCCGTACATGTTGCCATGGCTAGAATAATCGAACACAAAGCCTAATCATTCCCAATTAATCCCTTTTTCTCTTTGTTTGTCTGTGCTCCAAAACAACACCTAGAATTCTTCATTAAAACGAAAGAAACACACCCTAGTCATTTGCATGGTTGCCATGGTGACATCACCGACCCAATCATAGTCTCAATGTTCCGGAAATGAAGCAGGCTGAGAATTTTGCCAAATAAGAAATCAATTAATGACAACTATAATTAATAATCTGGGCTCTAATGATCACTGATGATTATCGATTAATTATGTCACAAGAATTTCTCTCCGCCTTTGTCAACAGTAGAATCCATACTCTTTTCATTTAGTGCAATTTACTGCATCACTTATCAATACAACAGGCTAGGGCAGGTAGGACGTTAAAACGACAATATTCCCTAGGAAAATAGCGCCAATATATTCAATACATATTAAGTCGAACCAGTCTCAATTATCTTCGACATCGTAATGACTCTCAGGATAAATAACCACCCACATGATGTCATTGGAGAAACCAGAACACTGAGATATTATTACTCTGTCGTACTGGAGAGACTTTAAAAAATATTTCAATCAACATGAAAACTTAACAAGAATAAATTTCCTGCCTTTGTTATGAAATGATTTAAATTGAGATAAATAGTATTTGCATCTGAAGAAGAGAATTTTGCTGAGGAAAGAGGTGGATCGATTTATATTGTATAGTTGAGTACCATGGTGGAGATGGATTTTACCAAAAAAGGTATTATTTGCATATATTCTCAGAGAATGCGTTCCAACAATTATCTGCAAAGTTCTCAAAATAAATTGACTCTCAAAACATTGTACAACATTAATACAAATTTACTTCTTTGTTTCATGGGGTTTGATTTTAGGGAAGTACAGCATTTACCGTGGTTTCAGCAAACTACCATCAAGAGACTGAAATTTCAAAGTACATTTGCTTTTTATATTTAAAGGCAAGAGTCATTTATCCCGATGACATCAAACACACTATGAACAAAAACTAACAAATTTCTCTGTATGTATGAATTAAGCGCAGACATTTTCTTGTGGACAACAAAACCCATTTTCAAATAGATCCCTAAGAGGCTATTTTGACAAGAGCTGTCACAAAATGAATTTTTAACGCGTTTGCATCTGAGCCCGGTCATGTGACTCGCTTGTCCCCGGATGACCATTTGTGATCCCGTGTCGACGCCGCTGTATTGATCTCAACATGACAGAGTGACAAAACACAATAAAATAAAATTCTGCTTTATTGATAAAACATTTCTTCCATAATAAAATTGCCTGGTCACATGATGATCCGATTATTGCCTAATGGAATCCTGGGTTTTGGGCATGTACGTAAATTTGACACTGATTATAATTGAATCAATCAATCAGTGTTGACCCAATAGCATGGAGAAATTGGCCAATGAGTAAATACATGTATTGCAAGGCCTACATGCTCGTCCAGGCTTTGGGGATCTTGGTCCGTCATTAAGCCATTGTACGAGGATGAATTCTGTCAGTACTTGTTATGGCCGCCGATTACTTCCTACACGACTAAAGCAACTACTTGCAACAGTCTCCAACAATCGTTGCGCCACCGACAAAACGGCAGTGGGGCAAAATACCATCATCAGTAACAGCTTCAGTACCAACAATGCTAACCCTTCGTCGACACCTTTCGTCAATGCTATTGTTTGTAGAGCCTGCCTGTTTCAGAATATGTCAAACCAAATTCAAATATGTCAAAAACCAACAACATATCTGGAAAACATTTTTGGGTAAAAATCTAGAAAATTATTACTTACTTGAACAATTGAAGGAGACAATGATTTCTCAGGTGAGATGTCGGTTTTGAAAAATACTTAAATTATTACAATTAGATTTACAATCTGTTATCAGGGGTATGCCGTAATATAGCTGTTAAAGACATGGTCCTGGTGACATGAGATCTGAATTTTTCAACATGTTCATAAGAATGTACTGCAGTGGGGGGGTTGTGTGTTTGTGAAACTCTGATTGCATTCAAACACTGAAACATGGACTTCAGTGGATTTAGTCAATGCTCTCTCTTCTTGGCCAGTTTAGAACCTTCAACTTCCTTTGGGAGAGGTTAATATTACACTGATATGGGTGAAGAATTGGGAATAGGCACAAAACCAAAACATTGGCACAAAACCAACTACCACAGTTTCTGCTTTCATTTCTGATTTCTGGGTGTCATGGTGACAAAGTGAGTATGGTTCAGTGCTGCTTTTAACAACATTTCAGTTACATCACGGCGTGTCAGCATGATGCACTCTTGGGTGAAACACATGAGCATGTGAATGATGCTGACAAACCTAGAAATGATCAAGGAAAACTGGAATTGGAACCCATGATCATAGGTTTCTGGCATGCCTAAGGGATCTAACTCTGCACAGAAATTATGACATCTTACACATCACACCTGTGCCCTAGTAGCTAAAAGTGTCAGAGAAGCAATCAGTGGTTCAGTTGTCCATGAACAAGCAGACTTCAGCAGTACAGTTGTCCAGGGGCAAGTAGAAATTAGTAGTTCAGTTGTCCATGGACAAGCAGACTTCAGCAGTACAGTTGTCCAGGGGCAAGTAGAAATTAGTAGTTCAGTTGTCCATGGACAAGAAGACTTCAGCAGTACAGTTGTCCAGGGGCAAGTAGAAATCAGTAGTTCAGTTGTCCATGGACAAGCAGACTTCAGCAGTACAGTTGTCCAGGGACAAGTGGAAATCAGTAGTTCAGTTGTCCATGGACAAGCAGACTTCAGCAGTACAGTTGTCCAGGGGCAAGTAGAAATCAGTAGTTCAGTTGTCCATGGACAAGCAGACTTCAGCAGTACAGTTGTCCAGGGGCAAGTAGAAATCAGTAGTTCAGTTGTCCATGGACAAGCAGACTTCAGCAGTACAGTTGTCCAGGGGCAAGTAGAAATCAGTAGTTCAGTTGTCCATGGACAAGAAGACTTCAGCAGTACAGTTGTCCAGGGACAAGTAGAAATCAGTAGTTCAGTTGTCCATGGACAAGCAGACTTCAGCAGTACAGTTGTCCAGGGGCAAGTAGAATTCAGTAGTTCAGTTGTCCATGGACAAGCAGACTTCAGCAGTACAGTTGTCCAGGGGCAAGTAGAAATCAGTAGTTCAGTTGTCCATGGACAAGAAGACTTCAGCAGTACAGTTGTCCAGGGACAAGTAGAAACCAGTAGTTCAGTTGTCCAGGGACAAGTAGAATTCAGTAGTTCAGTAGTCCATGGACAAGTAGAATTCAGTAGTTCAGTAGTCCATGGACACATTTCACTAGCTTCAAAATAGCAGACACTACTGTAACGACAAACTATGTCCAGTTCTCACTTCATTCCTCTGCTGCTGCTGGCTCACATCCTGACATCACTGCTGATGGGCACGTTATGTGTTCACATCTTGGACACAGTTTTACAGGCGTGTTACTTAAGAGCTATGAATGTCAACTAAGAAGTAGACTCTTTCTGTGTGAAACCTGCCACTACAGAACCATACTGACTCAGTGCCATCCATTTCCCCTACGGGTCAAAGGAGATAGCTAAAACAGTGATTGAACAGGTACAAGGGCTGCACAATAGTACTCTGATGGTGACAACAAAGACAATGTGTTATGTTGTTTAACACAGCAATATTCCAGCTTGATGACGATAGCCTGTAAATAACCAAGTCTGGAACAGACAATCCAGTCATCGATATTGTGAGCATAGACCCACATAATCAGAGTACGAAGAAATGCCATCAACCACCCATCCTGACCACCCAATCCATCAAATCTCTTACAACTAGCATAGGCTGCTGGGTAATTATTATAACAGAATCCCCACAGGACACTCACTGACCAATGGCTGACCAAGTGTCAGTTATGACCTGGTGGTTGTGTGCCACTGAACCCAGGCAGTATGAATGATTCCCCACTAGAACCTACTGGTTCAGTCCATCCGAGCAAAACTGTAATATCACCAAACAACCCTCTTTCACAATGTGATAAATCCCTTTGTTTGGGTAGAGAATAATAATTTAATTAAATGTTCAATACATGTCAAAACTTCACCCATCAGAGATATCATAAACAAATTCTATATTTTCATTAAAAACCAAAATTATTGACATTGTTCAAAATTAATACAGGCATGATGACAACATTATTAACTTGATAACATGCTCTCAAATCAATATCATAAAGGTGTCGATACATCCTTTACATCAGCATTTGTATTGGACAGAGTCACAGATAATGGACTTGGAAATTAATTTGTTATTATAACCAAACTTATAGAGAGGTGCAACAATACACACACATCTAATCCAAGAGAGGAATGTTGTGTTTGTTTCTGTGTTGAAAAGTAACCTGTTACCTTCGAAACAAACACAGCATAACACCAACTGAACCCCTTTGATGTCAACCAAAACAAAATATAATTCAGTTTCACATTGGACCTTCATTTTTGTTTTGACCAAACCGAACTGACTAGCCCTAATCACAAAATAACAAAAAGGTTTGATCTAACATTTTGTCACATTGTCTATATTTGTGATCATAACTGCTGTGAATATCGCCTTACTTATATTTAGGAGCAACACATGATGTGTCCGATCCTGACTCATGCTGTTCAATCATGTCTCATGTCACAAAAGGCACTATTTCTCACCTTCGAGCAGGAAGATGTAATACACACTTAACTGTCACTTTGCCACCATCTGAAATGAAAAACTTAGTAATTAGGTTTTGTTCTGAAACTTGAAACTCTACGCATTTAGAAACAATCACTACGTCAATGACGACGCTGTCATACACTAGCACAGAAACAAGCTACATTTTAGATCCCAACATCTCCAATCCTAATAAGTCATTGCCAATTTTCATGGCTACTTATGTGAGGATATCTCAAGGAAGAAGAAGTAAGTCAAGGCTGAATGAGAATGTTGCACACTGTCTGGAGGGGAGAGACGGGGTGGAGTCTGCCAGTAGTAATTTGTATAGGGATGAAGGATGGGATGGATGGTGGAGATTTCCGCTGGTGGTTCTGGGAAGTGGGAGGCTCAGATGGATGGTCGAGGTTGGGGATGGTGGTTCTGGGAAGTGGGAGGCTCAGATGGATGGTCGAGGTTCGGGATGGTGGTTCTGGGAAGTGAGGAGGCTTGGATGGATGGTAGAGGTTCGGGATGGTGGTTCTGGGAAGTGGGGAGGCTTGGATGGATGGTGGAGGTTCGGGATGGTGGTTCTGGGAAGTGGGAAGGCTTGGATGGATGGTGGAGATGTGGGATGGTGGTTCTGGGAAGTGGGGAGGCTTGGATGGATGGTGGAGATGTGGAATGGTGGTTCTGGGAAGTGGGGAGGCTAGGATGGATGGTGGAGGTTCGGGATGGTGGTTCTGGGAAGTGGGGAGGCCAGGATGGATGGTGGAGGTTCGGGATGGTGGTTCTGGGAAGTGGGAGGATGGGATGGATGTTGGAGATGTAGGATGGTGGTTCTGGGAAGTGGGGAGGCCAGGATGGATGGTGGATATGTGGGATGGTGATTCTGGGAAGTGGGGAGGCTAAAATGGATGGTGGAGATGTGGGATGGTGGTTCTGGGAAGTGGGGAGGCTAAGATGGATGGTGGAGGTTTGGGATGGTGGTTCTAGGAAGTGGGGAGGCTTGGATGGATGGTGGAGGTTCGGGATGGTGGTTCTGGGAAGTGGGAGGCTAGGATGGATGGTGGAGATGTGGGATGGTGGTTCTGGGAAGTGGGGAGGCCAGGATGGATGATGGAGGTTCGGGATGGTGGTTCTGGGAAGTGGGAGGATGGGATGGATGTTGGAGATGTGGGATGGTGGTTCGGGGAAGTGGGGAGGCTTGGATGGATGGTTGAGGTTTTGGATGGTGGTTCTGGGAAGTGGGGAGGCTTGGATGGATGGTGGAGATGTGGGATGGTGGTTCTGGGAAGTGGGGAGGCCAGGATGGATGGTGGAGGTTCGGGATGGTGGTTCTGGGAAGTTGGAGGATGGGATGGATGTTGGAGATGTGGGATGGTGGTTCTGGGAAGTGGGGAGGCTTGGATGGATGGTGGAGGTTTGGGATGGTGGTTCTGGGAAGTGAGGAGGCTTGGATGGATGGTGGAGGTTTGGGATGGTGGTTCTGGGAAGTGGGGAGGCTTTGATGGATGGTGGAGATGTGGGATGTTGGTTCTGGGAAGTGGGGAGGCCAGGATGGATGGTGGAGGTTTGGGATGGTGGTTCTAGGAAGTGGGGAGGCTTGGATGGATGGTGGAGGTTTGGGATGGTGGTTCTGAAAAGTGGGGAGGCTTGGATGGATGGTGGAGATGTGGGATGGTGGTTCTGGGAAGTGGGGAGGCTAGGATGGATGGTGGAGGTTCGGGATGGTGGTTCTGGGAAGTGGGAGGATGGGATGGATGTTGGAGATGTGGGATGGTGGTTCTGGGAAGTGGGGAGGCTTGGATGGATGGTGGAGATGTGGGATGGTGGTTCTGGGAAGTGGGGAGGCTTGGATGGATGGTGGAGGTTTGGGATGGTGGTTCTGGGAAGTGGGGAGGCTTGGATGGATGGTGGAGATGTGGGATGGTGGTTCTGGGAAGTGGGGAGGCCAGGATGGATGGTGGAGGTTCGGGATGGTGGTTCTGGGAAGTGGGGAGGATGGGATGGATGGTGGAGGTTCGGGATGGTGGTTCTGGGAAGTAGGGAGGCCAGGATGGATGGTGGAGGTTCGGGATGGTGGTTCTGGGAAGTGGGAGGATGGGATGGATGGGATGGATGTTGGAGATGTGGGATGGTGGTTCTGGGAAGTGGGGAGGCCAGGATGGATGTGGAGGTTCGGGATGGTGGTTCTGGGAAGTGGGGAGGCCAGGATGGATTTGGAGGTTCGGGATGGTGGTTCTGGGAAGTGGGGAGGCCAGGATGGATGTGGAGGTTCGGGATGGTGGTTCTGGGAAGTGGGGAGGCTAGGATGGATGGTGGAGGTTCGGGATGGTGGTTCTGGGGAGTGGGGAGGCTTGGATGGATGGTGGAGGTTCAAGATGGTGGTTCTGGGAAGTGGGGAGGCCAGGATGGATGGTGGAGGTTCAAGATGGTGGTTCTGGGAAGTGGGAGGATGGGATGGATGTTGGAGATGTGGGATGGTGGTTCTTGGAAGTTGGGAGGCTTGGATGGATGGTGGAGGTTTGGGCTGGTGGTTCTGTGAAGTGGGGAGGCTTGGATGGATGGTGGAGGTTCGGGATGGTGGTTCTGGGAAGTGGGAGGATTGGATGGATGTTGGAGATGTGGGATGGTGGTTCTGGGAAGTGGGGATGCAAGGATGGATGGTTGAGGTTCGGGATGGTGGTTCTGGGAAGTGGGGAGGCTAGGATGGATGGTGGAGGTTTGGGATGGTGGTTCTGGGAAGTGGGGAGGCCAGGATGGATGGTGGAGGTTCGGGATGGTGGTTCTGGGAAGTGGGAGGATGGGATGGATGGTGGAGGTTTGGGATGATGCTTTGGGAATTGGGTGTATTCTGGAGAGTGCAGAGAAAAGCATGTTCCTTGGAGTGAATATCTGTGCCCCTTCTGTGCTATGAAGGAACATATGGAATGAAATGTTGGTTGGTTGGTTGGTTTGTTGTTTAACGCCGCACTCAGCAATATTCCAGCTATATGACGGCGGTCTGTAAATAATCGAGTCTGGACCAGACAATCCAGTGATTGATATCATGAGCATCGATCCACCCAATTGGGATCGATGACATGTATCAACCATGTCAGCGAGCCTGACCACCCGATCCTGTTAGTTGCCTTTTACGACAAGCATAGTCACCTTTTACGGCAAGCATGGGTTGCTGAAGACCTATTCTACCCGGGAATCTTCAAGGGTCTGGAATGAAATGCTTTGATCTAAATGGAACAAAAAATAACAATTAATGGGGATAGAAGTATGCTGTTTCCTGTGTGTGGAGACAGAAGACTCAATAACAAATATCTCTCCACAAAGGTGTCAATAGAAGACACAGATTTGTCTCATCCTGAGTGCTGGGAATGACTGCAGTTTCACAACCACTGTCTGTAGGAGACGCCTACAAACTGCACTGTCCTGTCAGGGTTCAAACCTGGATTTCATGTGCAATAAGTATACACACAACCTGCTGTGCTAGACTACTGATGCCTCAACACACATGGTCCATAAACAGTAGACCAGTAGCTGATAGGTTTGATATTACTAAAATCCCCGTAAATCATTCCTGTTAGCAATGTGATGATGTCAACACAAGATCAATATTGTAGTGTACGACATCAATATGACAAAATATTGCAACATGTCATATAAGTTATTTCAACTGGCACACAAGTAATGAGGCCTCAGGTATTGTGCCTCATGTCAGGCTACACGTGTCAGAACACCAATATATATTACTCAACTCTGAATAGTAATACTGAGATATTATTTGTTCATTTGTATGTTTATTGTTTAACATCGCACTCAGCAATATTCACCTATATGATGGTGTTCTGAAAATAATCTGAGTCTGGACCAGACAATCATGTGATTGACATCATGAGCATTGATCTATGCAATTGGGATAAGATGGCATGCATCAGCCAAGTCAGCGAGCCTGACCACACGATCCAGTTAATCGCGTCTTACGACAAGCATAGTCACCTCTTATGGGCTGCAGAAGACCTATTCTATTACTTTTACAATACACGGAAAATCAACGAAAGAAATGTAAACTTGTTTTTCCAAAAAATGGAGGTGTAAGCTACAAACATGCAAGTTCCATGACAGTCAGCATACAGTTTGTATGACAATATCTCCAATGAATCACACCACATTCTGGGAACACAGACTGTTCCTATCAAAAGTTGAGTGGTACATGTATTTTTAAAAACTCATTGTCTTGGTGCCAACATCAACCATTTTATTGTGTCTCTTTAGAAATGTATGACAGATACATCTTTAACTCTGTATTTCAGCTAGAAGTTTATTTTGAAACACATGCAAGTTAAACAAGACTTTGCCACTAACGTGGCTATATCCTCCGCCCCTGTTGCCGAATTTATGACATAATTAAATCTAAACAAACCCTACCCTTTTTTAACAGAGGTGGAGCTTGTCATGGAAATTTTAAGTCCATCTTGTTGCAATGGAAATGTAAAAAATAAAAATTTCTAAAATTTCTAAATAGCAAAAGGCACCAGTTCAGCATGTACTTTACAGACCTGCAAAGTTTCATGAAAAAATATTGAACGGTATATGAGTTATGCTCCGGAAACGAACCCTATCCTCACAGAACCTAAATCCTTCTGTTGACATGGAAACGTAAAAAATAAAAATTTCTAAAATTTTCTAAATAGCAAAAGGCACCAGTTCAGCATGAACTTGATAGACCTGCAAAGTTTCATGAAATAATATTGAACGGTTTCTGAGTTATGCTCCGGAAACGAAACCTGATGGACGGACGGAGCCCGATTCTATATCCCCGCCAACTTTGTTGGGCGGGGGATAAAAATGCATACAAGCTGAGCAGAATTTTAACTCCATGTAGTTTTTTAACAACAATAGTTAATTATTCACATTCTAAGAATAGCTAACCAAAATATTGCTGACAATAAACGTTGAAACAATACATTTAGCTTTTTGACTTAAAAAGTCAATTATATTGCCTTCTTATTCTCATGATTAAGCAGTTCAAAACATATTCTGGATACATAAAGTTAGCTAGCCATTAGGTTCTTTCAGGGTTCTAAATGTATTTCTATTTCTATTTCAATTTGGAAAGCTCAATGTGGGAAGAAACCCCAAATTGACATAAGTCAAGGTCGTTTTTTACTTAAAGCACTTCATCATGTTTCAGGGAGGTGAGGTGAGGTGAGGTGAGGTGAGGTGAGGTGAGGTGAAATGAGGTTTAATGTCATGTTCAAGATTATTGCACTTATACAGCGATGTGCATGCACGCCTGTGTGCGTGGCTACTTGTACTAATCCAGACTAAAGCAGATTTTATAATGCAAGCTCACTAAGAAACCATGCCACAGATTAACATGAAAACCCCACTCAGACACAGAATACTGACTCCAAGCCAACCAGTCCTTGTTTTAGCCCCTAATGCCAGGCGCCAGACAAGGTAACAACAAATACCATCTTTTAACATCTTTTGGTATGACACAGGCAGAGATGGAACCCCCAACCTTTGACTCCCTTGGCTGATGTTCTCCTTCTACCTCTAGACCACGGAGGCAGTTCATGGTTCAGCCTGGATGTGGTGCTGCCAGAACAAGGATACTGAATCTGGGTCCAAACCTACTACCTGTGACAGGGGCTTGGGTCGCCCAATCATAAACAGCCTAGCATCCCTTAGGCAGCATCAGAAATTGGCACTAGTCCTGTAGTCCTTTCCAAACTGCCCAATAGTTAAGAAATCATAAGGACTAGTAGAAATTTGCCATTTTAAGGGTTTTGCTATACGTTATCATTATGAGGACAAGTTAACTGTTAGTTTCTACCGCTGTTTGGCATCCCAGACATATGATCATGGATTCGAATTCCAGATTCACCTTGAACACGATTCATACTTTCCTGCACCTTTCCCAAACATTTGGGTTTACCAAACTGGTATCTATCTCAGACCTGCATCTCTTTGGGCTTTCCTAACACATTAAACTGACCCATTAACTGAACTACTGTTCAAAGTGGCATTACACCCAACTCACTCACAGCCTGTGGATACTGGCATCTAAAGGGACACAACTCAGTACAACACTCAGAACAAAGTTTATTCTAAGCAAACACCTGATGGAAGGCAAAAGTTTCTCCTGATCTGTTTATCAGTCGGACCTTCCTATTGGCTAAAAACTTCCACTGCCACAGCGAACAATGTCAACGTTTCCTGTAGCAGGACCATTTTCACTCAACTCTCATCAGCCATGATATCATTTTACATCCAGATTGCTCCGAAGTCTATGATATCAAACTATATGGACTCCTCTAATTCATAATCTTGTCTGTCTAATTAAACCTGCCTTGAAAAAACATTTAACATCAGAGGAATAGGACCATGATAAGAAACGCAAGATTTAATCAGAAAATCCGCTGTTTTTTATGTAAGAAATTACATACAGCTAATTCCACTCCATCTGGAAAGTAAATGTGGTTATCGCAAACATCTTGGAAGAAGGGTCCGCATATTAATGACCCTCTACTAGAATACCGAGTTAGGTTCATTTCTAATACAGAAATTCGATAACTTTTAATAGCTCTAACTCATAAATCAAAATTATCTTGCTATCCTTTACTTAAACTACATTTTCCAATGACAGCCGCATTTTAATGAGTATTGATTCCAATGGTTTTTCTCAAACGTGTGCCTAACGATGACGCCATTGTTTGTGGAGTCAAGTTATGTCATTACTTAATCATCTTAACGAACTGTTTCTCCTTGCCGTTTTTTCTCCAACTAATCTGGCTTCTCAAAGCTGGATATAAGAAAACCTTAACTACATGTTTGTTGTCATTAATTGAAAATATAGGGCTATATCGCTAAAGCCACATGAGCCAAAACGTCCCCTGGTTTTGAGTTTTCTGTCCAAAGCATCATGATGAAAGTGTACTTAATTCCATTACGGCAACACTGATCACTTAACATGACCTAAAATGTCCATATCTATAATAAAAGCAGGCCGAACTACATGAAATTGTAGCTGAGCAGAATCAAATAAGTTTTAAGGAGCTGCACATTCTCTTCTTTTCCTCTAAATGGATATTATATATCCATTAAAGTAAGAGCAAGTTTTTTCCTTGTATCTTTTTTCTTTTAGGACAATGAAACCCTAAAAAATTCATATCTTCATATAGGTTTAACATTTTCCAAAAATGCATGCATAAAATGTCAATCATTAGCTGCAGAGTATATAATGGTATTGCACCACCTACACACAAGCAGCTACAACTGGTGCGAATCATCGAATAATGGGTCAGTCTGTCATGATCAATCAAATTAATTATTCATTTGCATAATGGCTATTCAATATACATACTACTCATCATCTGCTAAGGACCAAACTAGTCATCTCTAGTCTAGGTGCTGTATAGAACAAATTATTTCTAAAATCTAAAATAAAATTGACATAGTACCTCTTGTATTATTTAGAAAATGAAAAATGATACTTGTCATGTTTGTCAACAGTTAGAGTTTCATCCTAAGGAGGATGTTGGT